ACACACACACACACACACACACACACACACACACACACACACACACACACACACAGCTCTGAGGGGTCCAGCTGCAGGTTTCAGAACCACCGAGTTTCTTCCGGGAAACTGCCCAGAAGTCCGATTCCCGCCGCCCGCCTCCCACAACCATGACCCTGGCCTTTTTCTAATACTAGGAAGGGTCAACAATATTCTCCCTCTTTACTCGGTTTATGTGTGGGTGGTTGGGGGGGACAGATGGGGTCGTGGTGTGCCCTAATTTAGCTGGGCTGGGCTCCAAGAAAGGCCTGTTGTCCTAAGATTCCCTTCTTCCTCAATCTTGTCAAACCCTAAGGAAAGGGCTCTGAGGAGGAGGAGAAGGAATGCTCTTGTCCATTTTAAAAAGTTAAGGTCAAGATGAGTGGGTATTTCCTCATATAATATGAAATGCATTTTTATTTTTTAGGGCATGGGAACATTTGCTTCCTTTTTAAATTTCCTGTCGATTGAGTTAATACTTGGGCTACCTACCTAGTGCCTATATGCACTTGTCCATTTGACAGATACTTCCCATTACTTCTATGAGCTTTCTTTTTAAGTGTAAAGCTCTTAGAACAGCTCCTGACACTTGATAAGTATTTAATAAACATTAGCTATTTGTTAATGTGATTTTGGGCAATTCCCCACCCACCTCCAATAGATCAGGAAAAATGAAAATACCAAGCTGTGATGGGGATTTCCTAGTTTAAAAAAAAAAAAATGAGATGCTCAAATGGTCTAGAACAGAAATTCTTTTTTTTTTTCTTTAACGTTTATTTATTTTTGAGATAGAGACAGAGTATGAACGGAGGAGGGGCAGAGAGAGAGGGAGACACAGAATCTGAAACAGGCTCCAGGCTCTGAGCTGTCAGCACAGAGCCCGACGCGGGGCTCGAACTCACGGACTGCGAGATCATGACCTGAGCCGAAGTCGGACGCTTAACCGACTGAGCCACCCAGGTGCCCCTAGAACAGAAATTCTTAACCAGAGGTAATTTAAATCCATTTGGAGCTTTCAGGGAACCAGAAACTCCTTGAAGTTGTATTTAAGTTGTAGATATTTGTTAATATGTCATTTCTATGGGGAGGAAGTCCATAATTTAATGAGATTTTCAAACATGATCCTAAAAAGATTTAGATCTACTGGCCTAGAGTCAAAGACTAATATCTGAGAATGTACTTTGAGATAACAAATAAAATTAGTGTCTAACAATAGGAAATTCTTAAATCACACTCCATCCCTGTGATGCAATTTTATGTCATTAAACGTGAATCATGAGAAGGAAAAAATTGAAAAAAATTTTTAAAGTCTATTTATTTATTTTTGAAAGAGATAATGGAGAGAGAGAATCCCAAGCAGTGGAGCCTGACATGGTGCTTCTGAACCATGAGATCATGACCTGAGCTGAAGTCAAGAGTTGGATGCTCAACTTACTGAGCCACCCAGGTGCCCTGTAAATGATAAATTTTAAGCAATAGTCATAGTTTTGAACAAGATGACTCAGGAAAATTTTAATTACAGATGAATCCCTTTTAGTAAACTAGGGATTTGTAGAAATTTTGCAAGGATTATATCTAATGTGAAACTATAATTAGTTATGCAGTGGAGAAAGGCAGAGAGAAAGCCTCTATCGTGTACCAAATACTCCTGTCTGCTTTGGTGTATTTTTACTGAATTTAAGAATGCTGCTTACCGTGGGGTGCCTGGGTGGCTCAGTTGGTTAAGCTTCTGACTTCTGCTCAGGTCATGATCTTGAGGTTTGTGAGTTTGAGCCCCGTGTCCGGCTCTGTGCTGACAGCTTGGAGCCTGCAGCCTGCTTCGAATTCTGTGTCTCCCTCTCTCTCTGTCCCTCCCCTGCTCATACTCTGTCTCTCTCTGTCTCTCAAAAATAAATAAATGTTAAAAAAAAATAAAAAAGAATGCTGCTTACCTTGATTGTGTTCAGTCACAGAATAAGGTGAAGGCAGCACCTTGTTTTGGTGAAGAACAGTAAAAAAAACTGATGAGTGTTATTTATTTCTGCCATACTGATTTTTTTTTTTTTGAGGAACTCACTCATTTCACAGTCCTATAGACTCCTTTCTCTTAACAACTAAAAGGTAATTCCTCTCCTCAACTCTTTTTTATTTTGTTTGAAAATAGTTTTTGTTTCTGATGATAGAATTAATGCAGGTTTATTATAAACAAGAAAAATATGCAGACCTAAGGAAATTATAAAGAAGAACATTTATTTTTTTATTTTTTTTTTAATTTTTTTTTCAACATTTATTTATTTTTTGGGACAGAGAGAGACAGAGCATGAATGGGGGAGGGGCAGAGAGAGGGAGACACAGAATCGGAAACAGGCTCCAGGCTCTGAGCCATCAGCCCAGAGCCTGATGCGGGGCTCGAACTCACGGACCGCGAGATCGTGACCTGGCTGAAGTCGGACGCTTAGCCAACTGCGCCACCCAGGCGCCCCTAAAGAAGAACATTTAATTTGTTCATAGTCCCATCATACAAAGTTAATGAATATTAGTACTTTGATGTTTGTTTTTCCAAATCTTTTTTCTGTGCGCTTGTGTACATATGTTCATTTCGTAAAATAGAATTACAAAAATTGATTATTTAAGGAGATACTCTCCAACATTTTGAAAAGAAATCCCGCGCAGTCATAAGATTTATTATATTGCTGTTTGTACAGAGTAAAGGAGAGTACAGTGGTTTCCCTCTAACCTGAAATTTTTTTCAAGACTTTATACCTTTTAGGATTATGGAAACATTTATCAGGGCAACAAATATCAAATAAGATATCTTTTCAGAATTGAGGTGGGGTTTTTTTGTTGTTTTTTTTTTTTTGGTTTTTTTTTGGTGGTTCAAGGTTGCTCCTAAGTAGAGATTTGTAATAACAGTGGAACGTGGTAGTAATGATAAATAATTCAGGCATGTTATACAGAAGAACTTGATCAAATGTTTTTAATGTGTTAATATGTTCAATATGATACCTTATCAAATTTCTTGAGTTTTATGATGCCAAGTGGTGTTTCTTTGGAACTGCTAGGAATAGAGAGCAAAAGGGACTTTGTTCTACTTCTTGATTTTTATGAATCTTTTTTGCTAATATTATTTATTAAGAAGAATTACATTCTCAAACAGTTCTAAAATTTACTAATGTTGTAAGAAAGAGGAGTCCTGAAAATCTCACTATAAGAGAAAGGAGAAAGGGCATCCTAGTATTAAAATTATTAAAGGGACGCTTGGGTGGCTCAGTTGGTTAAGCATCCAACTCTCAATTTCGGCTCAGGTCATGATCTCATGGTTCATGGGTTCAAGCCCTGCATCAGGCTCTGCGCTCACAGTGTGGAGCCTGCTTGGGATTCTCTGTCTCCCTCTCTCTCTGCCCCTCCCTTGTTCATGCTCACTCTCAAAAATAAAATTAAATTAAAAGTAAAATTATTAAAGATAATTTACCAAATAATTAAAATGCTTTTACTAAAGATACTTTTTTAAACACATGGAATAACGGGCATGTAATTTTTTCATTTTATTTATTGCTTGTAATAAGGTATTTTAAGTGCTTTATATGTATTATATTATTTAACCTTCACAATAACCTTATAAGGTATATACTGTTACTATTCTCCAGTTTATCTAAGAGGAAGCAGTGGCACTGAAAACTAACATGCCTGAAGTCTCCCAGTTGATAACATCAAACCTCAGATTCATATTCTGGATCCTGACAACAAAGCCTGTGTTCTTCATATGTGAGAGTCAGTCACCTCCCACCATTGTGGATATTCTTTTTGGTCTGCCTATTGCACTTGAAAGTTTATCATGGATATCTTTCTTCATGAATTAATATGAACCAGTACCATTATTATTAATAATTACATAATATGCCATCATATTGTAGAACCTAATTTATTTAGCTGGTTGCCTTACTGTTAGGTTTTCTGACTTTTGGTTAGAAAGTATTCCTTGATGAACTTCCTTGTATATATCTCCTTGTATACTTCTATAAAAATTTTCCAGGGATAAATTCCTAGAAATGGAATTTCTAGGTTGAATTATTAGACATTTTATAAAGTACTCACAATATGCCTGATCCTATGCTAGTACTCTGAGGGTGAAAGAGTGACTAAAATGACAAGTTGATTTTTTTTTAATATGAAATTTATTGTCAAATTGGTTTCCATATAACACCCAGTGCTCATCCCAACAGGTGTCCTCCTCAGTACCCATCACCCACCCTCCCCTCCCTCCCACCCCCCATCAACCTTCAGTTTGTTCTCAGTTTTTATTTTTTAAAAAAAATTTTTTTTCAACGTTTATTCATTTTTGGGACAGAGAGAGACAGAGCATGAACGGGCGAGGGGCAGAGAGAGAGGGAGACACAGAATCGGAAACAGGCTCCAGGCTCTGAGCCATCAGCCCAGAGCCCGACGCGGGGCTCGAACTCACGGACCACGAGATCGTGACCTGGCTGAAGTCGGACGCCTAACCGACTGCGCCACCCAGGCGCCCCTGTTCTCAGTTTTTAATTGTCTCTTATGTTTTGGCTCCCTCCCTCTCTAACCTTTTTTTTTTTTTTTCCCCTTCCCCTCCCTCATGGTCTTCTGTTAAGTTTCTCAGGATCCACATAACAGGTTTGATTCTTAAATTATTATCTATCAACATAGATAAAACTGTATAGGAATTAGACTAAGTGTGATAAAGGTCACTGAAGAAGTTAGCTTGGGAATTCCTGGGAAGAAGATACATTATCTGATTATAGCAAGCTTTATCAGGTTGTAACCAAAAAATGCCAAATCCAGAGGATTTCTGTATAGGTAAATGGACTGTATGTAAGAGGTGTTATGCCTTATGGTTTTTATTCTCATGATGTTGATGCAAAATGAGACCAACAGGGCAAAAGATTCAGCACCTCTTTGGAGGGCATCATGGCTAAAATGACTGGTTCAGAAGCAAGATCAATGCATTAGTACAGAAGTTAAGAAAGGCAGCAGCAGAGAAACAAGGCATTAGATGGGGGGTGTTTAACCATTTTTTTCTAGGCAAAACTTCAACATACATGAACAAACTTACAAATCATAGAGTTGGGTCAGCTATTGGGAGCTAGAAGAAAAATATATAGTAGCTTTTTTCCTCCAAGTTCAAGAGGTGACTGCTTCAGAAGTGAGTCTTTTTCACCTATTTGAAGAAAAGCTTCCCATTTACAAAATTTCAAAAATGTCTTTCCAGAGTATATATTGCCATATAAAATTATGAAGTAAATATAAGCAAAAAGAAGAAAATTAAGATCAAAATGGGGAAATTAGCAATCTTTGCAGATCTTTTTTTTTTTTTTTTTTTTTTTTTTTTTTTTTTAATTTTAGAGAGAGAGTGTGTGAACACAAGCAGGGGAGAGGGAGGCAAAGGGAAAGAAAGAGAATCTTAAGCAGGCTCCATGCTCAGCACGGAGTCCAACAGGATTGATCTCACGACCCTTGGATCATGACCTGACCCGAAATCAAGAGTCAGATGCTTAATTATACTTTACTAATGTATTCATAATGTCCATTTTATTTTATTTTATTGAAGAATATTTTATCTTGAATATTTTGTATGTCCTTATATATTTTTAAAAGCTTAGATTTTGTGATTATCATGCACATGCACAAATATATATATCTTTTTTGCCCTGCTATAACAGGATCACAGTACTCACAACTGTTGTCACCTGCATTCTTCACTCAGCAGCATGTAGTAAACATATTTCCATCTTTCCAATTAAAAGTCTGTATTATCATTTTTTAAGTGACAAGCTTTTTCATTCTGTGGGTGCTTTATAATTTATTTAATCTATTTTCTACTGAAGGATTTTTAGATTCTTTCCCGCTTTTTTCCATTATAAATAATGTCTGTCACTACATTCTTACATCTTGTACATATATACAATTATTTTCTTTAATCCCCAGAGTAGAATTTCTGAGTCAGAAGATTTGCATGGTTTAAATGCTGCTTGGACATAATTTTTTTAAATGAATGTTTATTTTTAAGAGAGATAGAGCATGAGTTGGGGAGGGACAGAGAGAGAGGGAGACACAGAATCTGAAGCAGGCTCCAGGCTCTGAGCTGCCAGCACAGAGCCAGACGCGGGGCTCGAACTCACAAACCACAAGATCATGACCTGAGCTGAAGTCAGATGCTTAACCTACTGAGCCACCCAGGTGCTCCCTGCTTGGACATAATTTTAAATTTACACAATCTGCAGGTTAGAGTATTCATTTCCTTACAAACTTGCTAATATGGGCATAAGTACTCCCAAAGTGAGATTTAATGTCTTTTGGTGGTTTCACATGTTATTTCTATTTTTTTAGGTTTATTTATTTATTTTGAGAGAGAAGGAAAGAGAGAGAAAAAGCATGAGCGGGGGAGAGGCAGAGAGAGAGGGAAAGAGAAGGAATCTCAAGCAGGCTCGGCACTGTCAGCGCAGAGCCCAACTTGGGGCTGGAACTCACAAACCGTGAGATCATGGCCTGAACCAAACAAAATCAAGAGCTGGATGCTTAACCCACTGAGCCACCCAGGAGCCCCGTTATTTCTATTTTTTAATGAGTCCTGCATGCTCATGTTTCTCCCATTGGAACAAGAAATTCTGGGTTTCAGAGACCAGAACTAGAGTTGATTAAGAGCTGACTTTGGTTAGAAAAATGAGGAATCCAAATTCAGCTTTGCTACTTAACTGAATTTCTGCAAGTGGTTTTACTTTTATTGTAAATATTCTGGTCCATTGCATAGATAATTATTATACTACATAGCAATCCTAAGGATCCACTTAATGTATATAAAATGCCTATCCTATGGAAGTCTTTGAAATAGTTATGTGTTGTCTACCTGTTGAGAGCATGTATCCACACCTTTTCAGCCTAGGTTGTAAGAAAGAGAATGGTAAATAAAGACATGTAGGAAAGCAGTGTGGTTGATTCTGATGGAAAAAAGTGATGAGCCCAGAAGATTCTGGAAGTTATTGTACAGGCTGGCAGGCTGGTAGGGTTGCCAGTGCAGCAGTTTAACAGTGGTTAATGACTGCCAGGGTTGGGACTTAGGAATTTCTCTCTTTGTATCTGATGAATCCAAGCAAGCCTGCAAAGCTTTGAAAGATATTCTTGTTTAGATGATGTGGCCCTTTATCAGCCCTGGAATTTTCGAGGAGGGATTAGATTTTCCAGATGCCCTCAAATCTCCCTCAGTGTGTGTGTGTGTGTGTGTGTGTGTGTGTGTGTGTGTGAGAGAGAGAGAGAGAGAGAGAGAGAGAGAGAGAGAGAGAGAAGTTCAAGGGAGGGGAAAAGGACATTAACTCCAGCCATTTAGTGAGTTCTGAGGACTATCTCATCTCATGGCTTTCTTTTCTTCCCCCTAGCTCTGGCCTCTGTGAACCCTCCAGGCAAGTAAACTCCAAGGAAGACTGACCAGTTCTTGAGTTTCTAAACCATGGCCCATGTAAGTTACTGTTTCTTTCTCCTGAAAATACAGTCATGTTAATGTCCTATGAACATTTCTTTATCCTGAAACTTCCTACCTATCAGAGTCCCATCTAGGAATCTTCTCCCAGTCCTCCAAATCCAGTGAGGGATGAGGCTATTTAGCACAACACCTGTCCTATGAGTCCTCTTTTCGCCAGTCATTATTCGTGTATTCATTGAAAAAAAAACTCATTTAGCATCTCCTATGTGTGCTCAATCTTTTGCTAAGAGCTGCAGTGGGGCAGAAATGAAATCGCTTGAGGGGTATGTTTGACCATCTTTGTGAGTTGATGAAAGAGGATGAGCCCATTTGACTACTCATGGGGAAACTGAATGTTTCTGGATTTGAGTTTTCCAAGTATGTAAGATAAGATTTGCTGTTGGTTGGCCTCAGCCTCAACATATGGTGAGCTCACTTGCTTTGTGAGGCTTTTAGGATGGGGTACAGATATAATTGGGTCTTGCATGCAAAGAGATCAAGGACCTTCCCTAGGAATCCCTAAGAGTTGTATACTAGGATCAGGGTTCCATTTGTAGTTGAACAGGATATGCTGGTCTAGAATGACATCTCTGTGATTCTGGATCACCAGTATCCAGAATCTACATCCATATCTTCTAAGTCAGGAACAAGGAATGTATACAGTGAGTGATGGAAAATGGTAAGTAGGAAAATCATGCAGATACATAGTTTATAGACCTTAACAACTGAGGAGAACCTTAAATATTTTGTATAGACCAAAATGGAAGAATGATTAAGTCTCATATAGCCCTCACATAGACTATTATACAATTTTTTAGACTTCATTAAAGAATCTGTCATAAATGGAAAAATGCTTATGATATGATCTGATTCAATGATGAACTTGGAATAAATTATTCATATCCTTTTCTAACATAGAAATATTATAAGGAAACTTTTAAAAAATCTGTTCTTTAAAGGGAAAGGGTGGAAGAACTACATTTCTTGAGACTTTATGAGGGAGACATGTAACAGGCACAGGCTTATATACAATATTTCATTTAATTGGAAAACTGATTTTTTTCTTTCCCAGACATGTTTGGATGATCAAGATACGCCAGAGTATTCAAGAGGCTGCACCTATAGCAACAGGATTCTTCAAGAGCACATAGGCATGCTGCTTCAGGCACACTCATTTCCTAACTCACTATATTAAAGGCTTCCAGCCCAAGCCTTTTTGTTTGCCATATGGTCCATTTCCTGCAGTATCCCTTCCATCTTAAAACAAATTTTCTTTAATTTCAATTGTATTATATGGTTTGTCATTGCAGAGATCACTGATGTTCAGTGATGTGTCCATAGTCTTCTCTCAGGAGGAGTGGGAATACCTGGACCTGGAACAGAGGGACTTGTACAGAGATGTAATGTTGGAGAATTACAGCAACTTGGTCTCCCTGGGTAAGGTCATCCGCCTGTAGACATGTTTTCTGTAATTTCTGCTTTTTTCTCTGGAAATTTCAGTAATGTCTTTCAAGAAGCTATCTAAATTTCTGCTCCCTGTTCTCAGGTAAATGGTTTGAACTTTATTTGTTTGAAAGTGAACACCTCTGTTAGGCATATTCATCTTCCTTATTCTTTTTTTTTTTTTTTTAATGTGCCATCTTTCTCATTCTTAAGTGGCCTTTAGGCCTTCCTTATTGATGAAAAAAGGGTGGATTTGAATACAGTCTTACTAGTGTCAAAGAAATCAGGTTTCCAGGGTACCTGGGTGGCTGAGTCATTCAAGTGTCTTACTCTTGATTTCTGCTCAGGTCATGATATCACGGTTCGTGAGTTCAAGCCCCATGCTGTTATTGCGGAGCCTGCTTGGGATTCTCTCTCTCCCTTTCTCTCTCTGCCCCCCCCCCCCCTCCCCGATGGGGATGAATGCTGTCTTTCTTCCAAAGTAAATAAATAAACTTAAAAAAAAAATCAGGTTTCACTTTGTATGTGAACTCAGAATTGCTATAGGTGTTTTGTTATTTGTTGGTATACCTGTTAAGAAAATAGCTAGACCATGTATCTTGGTTTTAATCTACCAAAAGAACAGATAATATTTGTAGTGTTAAGTTGGATCAACAGGATTTATTTACAATTCAAGACAACTCATTCCTTTTGTTAATAAACATATTCACTTTTACCTACTTTCATGATTAAAAATTAAAAATCCAAGAACTTTGCATTTAACATTATATTAATATCATAAGAAATAACAATAAATGCTTCTGGAAACTTCTTGTTTTCCCCTCAGCAAAATAACAATGACAAAAAATAATAATAGCTAATAAAATACATTCGACCCTTGAACAACATAGGAGTTAGGGATGCCAATCCCCTATGCAGTCAAAAATTTGCATGTAACTTTTGACTCCCCAAAGCTTAACTAATAGCCTACTATTGATCACAAGTTTTACTGATAACATAAAGTTGATTAACACATATTTTGTATGTTATATGTATTGTATACTGTATTCTTAAAATAAAGTAAGCTAGAGGAAAAAAATGTTAAGAAAAGCATAAAGAAGAGAAAATACATTTACAGTACTTATTTATCAAAAAAAATCCACATATATGTGGACTGTTGCAGTTCAAACCTGCATTGTTCAAGGGACAACTGTGTATATAGTGCTTAGTACATAGCCTAGGCAGTGTTTAGATATAGGTATATGTTAATATAACTGTCACAACAATTGTGTATGAAGGGTACAATTACTATTCTTAAAACTAGGATGTGGCAGAGACAGGATTTGAACTCGGGCAGTCTGTGCTCTCAACCACTTGCCTCAAGAAGGATTACTTGTATGAATATAAATTAATCTATTTATTATGTAACCTTAATATGAATGTTTTCTAGCTATCTTGCCCTTCTTTGTTCTAAAGGCTTTATCAATTACCATCTGACCTGTAGTTTATTAAGAAGGTAGCCAAGATTGAATCAAAGTAACTTTGAATTTATTTTTTATTTCCATATCACCTTACATTTCATTTCTTCTAATCAGGATGCTTCATTTCTAAGCCAGATGTGATTTCCTTGTTGGAGCAAGGAAAAGAGCCCTGGAAAGTTGTGAGGAAAGGAAGGAGACCATATGCAGGTGAGTGAGCCCCAATTAAGCAGGGGGAAGCCATCACCAGAGGAAACCACACAACTAGTTAGGGAAGAGGCACACTCTACTGCTGTTGTTTAGAAAGTCCTCTTTAAAGATCCAAGGCCTGGGGTGCCTGGCTGACTTAGTCAGTAGAGCATATGACTCTTGATCTTGCAGTTGTAAGTTTGAGCCCCACGTTGGGTGTAGAGATTACTTAAAAATAAAGTCTTTAAAAAAATTAAAAAATTAAGGTCTAGGGCCTGAAAGAAAAAGGTCTAACACCTGAGGAGCAAGTTAAGGTCTTAGCAGGGGATACTATAGAACTATTTATTTATCCATTTACCACTCTTTTGTTGTTGTTGCTGTTGTTCTTTCAAATTTTCCTCCTCTTTGAAGGGGGCATGGGTGGAGAGGTGCTCTCTTTGTTCCCTGTTGACAACCATTCTATCTATATTTTGATTCAGCTGCTTTCTTCTTTTGTATTTATAAATAGTAGATAGTTAGACTAACTGACTGATTGACTTATCTACTTACCTCTGAGCTGGGCACTGTGCTAGACACTATCAATATAGTAGTAAATAAAGCCAATAGAGTCTCTGTCCCCCATGGAATTTACCTTGTAATAAGAGACACATAGTAACTATAAATAAATAGGAAATACAATTTTAGGGGGCACCAGGGCGGCTCAGTTAAGTGTCCGACTCTTGATTTCAGCCTCATGATTTCAGACTCTTGATTTCAGTCATGATCTCACGGTTCATGGGTTTGAGCCCCGTATCTGCCAACACAGAGCCTGCTTGGGATTCTTTCTGCCCCTCCCCCACTTGCATACACATGTCCAGTCTCTCTCAAAATAAATAAATAAACTTTAAAAAAATAATAAAGATAGATAACTTCAGGTAATAAGAGAGTACTATGAAGTAAAGTAAGCAAAGTAAGAGAATAGAAAATGGTGTAGGATGGAAAGCTACTTTAGGAATGGTCTGAGAAAACTTTTTTGGGGAAATAAAAGACTATAAAAAGAATATACTTGACATTCTAAGAATACGTATATGTTTTATCAGCAATCACAGTTTTATATGAATTACTCGAAGATAGATCCTTAGATCGTAGAATTTCATTCTCTGCTTTTTTCCCTGTGTATATATATATCTACCTTCATATCAGGAAGAAACATGAATGTGATAGACTATAGGAAGAATGATCCCTTGGTTTAGCTTCCACCTCTGTACTATTTTAATCTCTCTTTGAATGTCTTTAAAAAAGATCCTCAACATTCTTTATATAGAGAGGTATATGTTGTCATTCTGTATTTTGCTGTCTGTACATTCAGGTCTGGCTGAGGAGACTCATTTTAGGCTAAAAGTTCTTGTTGTAACAGGGCCATTTCAGTGCCTACACTATCTATAATGTTATATCTTCTGACTCACTCTCCACCACAGGAAGTCTTTTTCATACTTAGGTAATTAAATGACATTTACAGTTATTAATGCTGAAAAAAAAAAAAAAACCAATGAAATGCAGAGTTTCCAAATGAGTAAGATAATGTAAGTTTAATCAGGAAGTATTCAGCCAAATGACAACTCTTGACTCAAAATTAGACATCTTAAACAAGATCATTTTTTTCTTTCATTTTCTTTTCTTGCTTTGTTTCTTTCTTCCTTCAAGTAACTTTTTTTTTTTTTATTTTTTTTTTCAACGTTTATTTATTTTTTGGGACAGAGAGAGACAGAGCATGAACGGGGGAGGGGCAGAGAGAGAGGGAGACACAGAATCGGAAACAGGCTCCAGGCTCTGAGCCATCAGCCCAGAGCCCGACGTGGGGCTCGAACTCACGGACCGCGAGATCGTGACCTGGCTGAAGTCGGACGCTCAACCGACTGCGCCACCCAGGCGCCCCTCAAGTAACTTTTATTGAAGTATAACTTGCATACAGAAGAGCAGATAAATGAGAGAAGGCTTTTTTGAGGAGGTGATATTTGAGGAGAGATGTGAGGCTCAAGCCATGTGATTCTCTAGGGCAAGAGCATTCTGAGCCAACAGAAAAGGCCTAAGGAGGAAGATAGCTTTGCATGTTTGAGGAGTAAAAAGAAGGCCATTATGGCTAGAGGAGGAGGAAGGGAAAAGAAAGTAACAAAAGACGAGATCAGAGTTAGGCAAAGGTCAAGTAATATAATCATTAAGAGAAATTGGAAGCTATAGCCTGCTATATAATCTAAAATGATCCCTCTGGAATGCAAACTGGTGCAGCCGCTCTGGAAAACAGTGTGGAGGTTCCTCAAAAAATTAAAAATAGACCTACCCTATGACCCAGCAGTAGCACTGCTAGGAATTTACCCAAGGGATACAGGAGTACTGATGCATAGGGGTACTTGTACCCCAGTGTTTATAGAAGCACTCTCAACAATAGCCAAATTATGGAAAGAGCCTAAATGTCCATCAACTAATGAATGGATAAAGAAATTGTGGTTTATATACACAATGAAGTACTACATGGCAATGAGAAAGAATGAAATATGGCCCTTTGTAGCAACATGGATAGAACTGGAGAGTGTTATGCTAAGTGAAATAAGCCATACAGAGAAAGACAGATACCATATGTTTTCATTCTTATGTGGATCCTGAGAAACTTAACAGGAACCCATGGGGGAGGGGAAGGAAAAAAAGAGAGAGAGAGAGAGAGAGAGAGAGAGAGATTAGAGGGGGAGAGAGCCAAAGCATAAGAGACTCTTAAAAACTGAGAACAAACTGAGGGCTGATGGGGGGTGGGAAGGAGGGGGTGGGTGAGTGATGGGTATTGAAGAGGGCATCTTTGGGGATGAGCACTGGGTGTTGTATGGAAACCAATTTGACAATAAATTTAATATATTTAAATTAAAAATAAAATAAAATAAAATAATCCCTCTGGTTGAGTATGTAAGCAGGAAGGACCAGTATGGAGGCAATTTCAGCTGTTTGGACTAGAAGTGATGGTGGTTTGGATAAGAATGGCAACAGTAAGAAAAAACAAAAAAAGAATGACAACAGTAGGAGGTAATAAGAAGCTCTTAGACTTGTGATATGTTTGAAGGTAATGCCAAAAAGAACATGCTGATAGGATCATAAGTGGATTAAGTGGGAAAGATCTATCAAAGGAAGAGATAAGTGTGTTAGCTGGGTAAATAGAAGCACAATTTACTGAAGTGGGGAAGATAAGAAGAGCCGGTTGGAAGGTGGACATTGAATTCTGTTTTGGATATTTTTAACTCTGAGATATGTTTCTCTTTGAGATGTTGATTAGGCAGCTGAATAACCTGGAGCTCGGGGAGAGATTATGGTCTATTGTACATCTGGGAGTCTGTGGTTCAAATTTAAATCCATGGGTCTGAACTGGATCATTTAAGGAAGACATGCTTGAAGGAAGAAAGCAGACAAGGGAAACTGGCCTGAGGATTGATTCATGGGGCACTTCACCATTTAGACCTTTGAAAGAGGGATAGCAAAGGAGATAGAGAAGGAACAGCCACTGACATAAAAACAAAATGTTTCAAAATGATAGTAGACAATGGAGATGGAGAATTCATCCCAGGTTCTGGCAAGTGATTTCAGTGAAGTCTGGGTGAAAACATGATTGAAATGACATAACGAGAGAAGGGCAGGTGAGGCAGTGATGAGAATCAGTATAAGAATTCTTGGGAGGAATTGTGTATGAAAGGAAGTGGGAAATGACATTCATAGTTACACTGGGGATATGAGTTATAAGCAGTGTATTTTGTGATATATTAGAACATGTTTGTGTGTTCATGAGAATGATTCTGTAGGTGGGGGAAACTGATGCAATAGAGAAAGAAGATAATTGTGGAAGCTGTGTCCTTGAGGTGGGAGTGGAGGAAAGGGCATAAGATCCAGAGAATAAGGTATAAAAAAGAAAACAATGTAGTTATGAAGGCAGGTTGGTCAGAGGTGGTGGAGAGAAGATAGCATATTCTGTTGTTGCTATTTTCTCAGTGAAGTAAGAAGATAGTCATGAATAGAATGTGAAGATTATTCAATATTAGCATTCAGTGTGGACTTATTCAGAATGTGTTTAAAATTGATTCTCAGAAGTACAGTTTCTTGGATGTCAGGCTTTTATTAAACTTAAATGTAATTATTATATATATAGAGAGAAAGTTCTTATAGTTTTCTGTATTCTCATTAGCAGTCTTTAATATATTGAATAGAAATCCTTTGGTTGAATAGAATTGGGACTGGTATTTGGTTTGTTAATTCATAAAAATGGGTTAGATATTTTATTTTTTTAATGTTTATTTATTTTTGAGAGAGAAAGAAAGTGCAGGGTAAGGAGGGACAGAGAGAGATAGGGACAGAGGATCTGAAGCAGGCTCTGTGCTGACAGCAGAGAGCACGATGTGGTGCTTAAATCCGTGAACTGTGAGATCTTGACCTAAGCTGGTCAGATAGATCCTCAACCAAATGATCTGCTCAGACGCCCCTAGAGATTTTATATATATATATATATCATAAAAGTATTTTAACTCTCAACATGAAAATGTATCTTTATTTATTAATTCAGTTGAGATATGTCTAAGCCTGCCTTTCTAATGTGTCTCATCATATTTAATTTTTCATCTAAACCACATACATAATGCATAGTTTATTATTTCTAGTTAAAAAGAATTTTTTTAAACAAATCTAATATATTGTAATTGAAATTAAATCAGTGGTCACTTCAAGAGTGTGGGGTGGGATCAACTAGGGAAGAGTACAAAAGAGCTTTCTGGAGGATAGACTTTTTTTTTTTAACTTTATTTATTTATTTTGAGAGAGAAAGCATGAGTAGGGGAGGAGCACAGAGACAGTAAGAGACTCTCAAGGCAGAGCCCAATGTAAGGCTCAAACTCACAAACCCTGAGATCATGACCTGAGCTGAAGTTGGACGCTTAACTGACTGAGCCTCCAGGTGTCCTAGTTTTAATTTTTTTTAAATAGAACAAGAGCCAGACTTGAAGTGTGAGTGCAGACTATTTCTTGATTGTCATGTTTTCCCCCATCTTTTACTCTAACTCCTCCAACAATTTTTGAAAGCTGTGATTTTTTAACAATATGTATTTACAATCAGTTTTTCCAAAGTGTTCAATTTCATTTTCATAGAGTCAGTCTCTTCTCATAGTTGTTCATGAGTTTATTATTTAATTAAATTAGATACCTTAAGGGAAAAAGTGAAACTGGCCTAAACTTGTTTGGAATAAACACTCCCTTGTAAAGCAGAAGTACTTTGTCACCTAGACCTAGGGATGTGACTGTATCCCCAGGACATGACTAGCCACTATTTTCTCTCTCATGCCCTAGCCCCCATGTCCATTGCCTGCTGTGGAGGCAGACAGGAGTAGTTGCTATCTGGCCTGAGAAAATCTGCAGGATTCAATATACATGGCCACTTTGAAGATAGTATTTATCCTGTTGTCACCCATTGTCACCCATACCTGCTCAGCTTCTCAGCATGAACATACACTTGGTAGGCCATTCTCACCTTGTACAGAGTAATCTCCATCTTGTGATTTTGCATGTCATTTCTTTAGAAAATCTAATGCCAAATGCTTCGTATTTCAGAGTTTTCCTTCATAAAGGTTATGTATATATTTTCAGTTTACTACCTGACTAGAATCTTCTTTTCTGCATTATATTTTATTGTTAAACATATATATTAAAGCTATTAGTTTTTGTATTTTGATTTTATATCCCACTACCCTACCTAAATTCTGTTACCATTTACATTATTTAAACCTTTTAAGTGTTCCAATTATGTAATCATATCATCTGGAAATACAATTTTACCTCCTCTTAAATTTTTCTACTTCTAGCTTTTTTCTGATATTTAAGTGTATTGGCTAATAACTCAAAAGCTGCCTTTAATATATATTTTATCATTTTAGGGAAGTAATCATTTCTATTTTATTGTGCTGTTCCTTTAAATCAGGAATGGTTCCTATTTTAGTTGCCTTTCAGAATCTCTGAAGTTGATCTTGTGGTTCCCCCCAAACCCCGCAGCCCTATTTATTTATTTTTTAAGTTTATTTTGAGAGAGAGAGAGAGAAAGAGAGAGCATGCACGCAGGAAGGGGAGAGAGGGAGAGAGAATCCCAAGCCAACTCTGCGCTGTCACCGCAGAGGCTGACCCCACAAGCCTGACCCCACAAGCCTGACCCCAGGGCCTGAGATCAGGACCTGAGCCAAAATCAAGAGTTGGATGCTTAACCTACTGAGCCATTCAGGCACCCCTGTGTGTTGATTTGTCTTAATAGATTTCTTCATATTGGACCACTCTAACATTCTTTGAATAAATAACACTAGGTTTTCAATATGCTGTTTTATTAGATGTTTTAGAATTTTTATATCAGTTTTCAAAAAATTGGTATGTAGTTTTCTTTTTATGAGTGATCTTTATTTAGTTCAGTATTACTCTATGAAAATAGTTTGGAAGTCCTCCTTTTTCTTAGTTCTCAGTCTTAATAGAATTTAGATAGTCTACTCTTAATAGAATTTAGATGGTCTATTCTTTAAAGCTTCTTTCCTAGGAGAAGGAGATGGTAAGTCTCACCCCATTCTCTATTTGCTCTATGAAAATTAATGTTTAAATTTTTTTTTTAACATTTATTTATTTTTGAGACAGAGAGAGAGCATGAACGGGGGAGGGTCATAGAGAGAGGGAGACACAGAATCTGAAACAGGCTCCAGGCTCTGAGCTGTCAGCACAGAGCCTGAGGTGGGGCTCGAACTCATGGACCGCGAGATCATGACCTGAGCCGAAGTCAGACGCTTAACTGACTGAGCCCCCAGGCCCCCTGGAAATTCATGTTTAAACATTGTATCTCTTCTGTGGTCAGTTTTGGTAAATTATATTTTCCTAGAAAATTATTCATTTTAGGTATGTTTTAAAATTTATTAGCAAAATAATCTTTTTTCAGCTGGCCTCTGTATTCGTGGTTATTTTCACTTTGCCATTTCTTATTTCTATGTGCTTTATTGCTGTTTTCTTTTTTTTTAAATTTGTTTAATGTTTATTTTTGAGAGAGAGAGAGAGAGAGAGAGAGAGAGAGAGAGAGAAAGCGAGCATGAGCAGGGGAGGAGCAGAGAGAGACACACACACAGACTCTGAAGCAGGCTCCAGACTTTAAGCTGTCAGCACAGAGCCCAACTTGGGGCTCTAATCCACGAGCCTTGAGATCTTGACCTGAGCTGAAGTCTGACACTTAACTGACTTGAGCCACACAGGCATCCCCTTGCTGTTTTCTTTATATTAACTAACGCTTTAGCTGTTTTGCTGATTTTTTTTTAAGTTTATTTATTTATTTTGAGAGAGAGAGAAACAGAGCATGCAAGTGGAGAAGGGACAGAGAGAGAGAATCCCAAGCAGGCTCCATACTGTCAGCACAGAGTCTGACACAGAGCTCAAACCCACAAACCATGAGATCATGACCTAAGCCTAAATCAAGAGTCAGTCGCTTAACTAACTGAGCCAAGCTGACACCCTGATTTGTTTTTTTAAAGAATGCTTTTGCTTTATGTATTAGTTCTTTTTTTCTGTTTTCTGACTAGTTATGCATTTATACTGATTAATTTATTCCTTCTGCTTTGCTTCAGTTTACTTTATTCTTCTTCCAATTTCTTTGATTTTTAATTAATTTTTTCTCTCATGTTTATATTTATGTAAATATTTAAAGTTTTCAAATTTTTTTCTAAGTGCTGTGCTTATATTTTATAGATACTAATTTAATGTTGATTTTTAAATTATTACCATTTTCTAAAATACAAAAATACTGTTTTGGAACTTATTTCCCTATTGATCTAAAAGTTATTTAATATAGACTTCTAAAATTTCAAGTGGGTTTATTTTTGGCTTTTTAAAATTTTATTATTTCTAGCTTCAATAGAAAATGTTGATATGATTTCAGCTTTTTTACACAGACCATATTATAATAACTGAAACATCCTCCTTTTTCTCTCTCATACATAACTCATTCAGCACTTAAATATTTCTCTGCTATTTCTCCCACTGGTTTACCATCTTCTCTCTATATCCAGCATGAACTTTGTTAGCAAATTTTTCATACTCAAGTGACTACAAGACCCATTGTCCCTTTTAGTGAGTTTCTTACATATCACATCTTTTTCTTTGCTAAGTATTTCATAAGAACTTCAGTAAGGTATAAACATGTTTTCCTGTGTGGAAAATCACTGGTACACATTTCTAGGAAATAAAGGAATAGCTTTGCCTCTGAAGGAACGGAAAGGAGACTTGAGTAAGGGGATGAAGGAACAAAACTAGTTGAGCATTTATAAAATGGATGAATAACAGAATAAGCTTAAAGAGAAATCAAGTGAATAGAACTCTTCAGCACTTTTATTGTGTTGTGGAGACAGAAAATAACTCACAGCTACATGAAGTAAGGAATGGACATAGATTAGGGGTTTAAGCAATAAAAGGATATATAGGAATATATAACCATCATTTTCCATTTATATGTTTAACTAGACTAGCTTGGATTAATAAAGGGAATATTTAATCATTGTTATAATATGTGAGAGATTAGAGACAGAAATATGTTCCAAATGAGTATATAACCATGGGAATTGAAAGAGTAAAACTCATTATGTGCTATGCATGTATTATTTAACAGAGAGTAGAAATTGTTTCTGCCGTTGAAGAAGTTTAGGGGTAAGAAAAGCAGAGAAACAATTGGAAAAATTTATAAATATATAATTTCAACCCAGATATATGTTGATATGTAATACACATATATTATATGTCAGTGCATAGCCCGATGCGGGGCTCGAACTCATGAACTGGGAGATCATGACCTGAGCCAAAATCAAGAGTCAGATGCTTAACTCACTGAGCAACCTGGGTGCCCCAACAACATAGGTTTAGAGTCAGCCTTAAAGGAATAACTTTTAAACTAAGACCTCAGGATGAGAAGTAACCAGCTATTCAAAGAGCCCAAGCAGATTTGTGGAAAATAGAGCAGACTAAGATGATGTGTTATAGGTTAGTGGAGGTCTTTTAACCACAGCAAGTTTGATTTTATTCTAAGAATAAAGAGAAGTTGTTGAAAAAAGTTAAGGATGAATTCTTAACCTTTCATTTCCATCAGAACTGTGTGGAGAATATTAAATATTGGACTGACCAGGACTGTAGAATCTGACCCAGGTGGTTTAGGTAGTGTCTAAACCTCAATATTTATAACAAGTTCCTGTGACTTCTACTCCACATCTCAGCTTGATACCCACTGACTTACTAATCACCAGCCTCACTTTGTTTCTTCTTTTTTAGTTTATTTATTTGTTTATTTTGAGAGAGAGAGAGAGAGAGAGAGAGAGAGAGAGAGAGAGAGAGAGAATCCCAAGCAGGCTCCACTATCAGCACAGAGCCCCATGCAGGGCTCAATCTCACAAGCCATGAGATCATGACCTGAGCCGAAACCAAGAGTCGAACGCTTAATCGACAGAGCCACCCATGCACCCCACCAGTCTTATTTTCTTAACATGAACTTTCATTTTCCCTGGTGTTACTGTATGCTTTTTTTTCAACTTGCATATTTTCAGAATTTCATTGAGTATTACTTTAGTTGTCTATTATTTCTACTGTAGAAATTTTACTTCTTTTAAAAAAGGAAACTATATGTTTGCTCTCTTATTTTCTTTCAGATTTAGAGACCAGGAAGTTATCCTCAGAAAATGACATTTATGAAATAAACCTACCTCAGTGGAAGATAATGGAAAGAATTAAAAATCATGGCCTTAAGGGCCTAATTTTAAAAAGTGACTGGGAGTCTAAAAGAAAATTTGAAGGACAGGAGGAATATTTCAGTCAAGTGAAAATTACATCTCAAAAAGTGTCCTCTTATCAAAAACGTACATCTCTAACTCCACATCAGAGAATTCATTTTGTGGAGAAACCCTATGAATGCAAAGAATGTGGAAAGGCCTTTAGAGTACGCCAACAGCTTACTTTTCATCACAGAATTCATACTGGTGAAAAACCCTATGAATGTAAGGAGTGTGGAATGGCCTTTAGACAGACTGCACACCTTACTCGACATCAGAGACTTCATTCTGGTGAAAAACTCTATGAATGTAAAGAATGTGGAGAATCTTTTATATGTGGCCCAGACCTTAGAGTACATCAGAAAATTCATATTGGCGAAAAGCCCTATGAATGTAAAGAATGCGGGAAAGCCTTCAGAGTGCGAGGACAACTTACTCTCCATCAGAGGATTCATACTGGTGAGAAACCCTATGTATGTACAGAATGTGGAAAGGCCTTTAGACAGTATGCACATCTCACTCGACATCAGAAGCTTAATATTGCTGACAAACTCTATGAATGTAAAGAATGTGGGAAGGCCTTTTTGTGTGGCTCTGGCCTTAGAGTACATCACAAACTTCATACTGGTGAGAAACCCTATGAATGTAAGGAATGTGGGAAAGCTTTCAGAGTGAGACAGCAACTAACACTGCACCAGAGAATTCATACTGGTGAGAAACCCTATGAATGTAAGGAATGTGGAAAGACCTTCAGTCGTGGTTATCATCTTATTCTTCATCACAGAATTCATACTGGTGAGAAACCTTATGAATGTAAGGAATGTTGGAAGGCCTTTAGTCGTTACTCACAACTTATTTCACACCAAAGTATCCATATTGGTGTTAAACCTTATGACTGCAAGGAATGTGGGAAGGCTTTTAGATTGCTCTCACAACTTACACAACATCAGAGTATTCATATTGGTGAGAAACCCTATAAATGTAAGGAATGTGGGAAGGCCTTTAGATTGCGCCAAAAACTTACTTTACATCAGAGCATTCATACTGGTGAAAAACCCTTTGAGTGTAAGGAATGTAGGAAGGCCTTTAGACTTAATTCATCCCTTATTCAGCATCTGAGAATTCATTCTGGTGAGAAACCTTATGAATGTAAGGAATGTAAGAAGGCCTTTAGACAACATTCACACCTTACCCATCATCTAAAAATTCATAATGTAAAAATATAAGATAGTTTTTCAATCCTGTCTTGTAGAATACTCTATGAATATAGTAATTAATCCTTTTTGCTTCCTTCATACAGGCAATTGACTTAAGAGGTTTTATATCATTACAAGAATATGTTAATTTAATGTATTCCACCATCACTTAAGCCTGATAAACTTTACACTTACTCTAAAAACTAATCCTAATCAGTGTGACAAATGTGGGAGACACTTATCTCTGTCCCATCACTTTCCTACTTGTATTATATTGACAAGATGCTTAACTGCTCTGTGCTATAATTTTTTCATTTGTAAAATGGTAATACAATACTGTGGCAGAATAAAAATTGTTGCAAATTGTTTGACATTCCCCCTTTCCCCCCATCAAAATCTGGAATCCACATCCGTTCTCCTTGAGGATGGGCAGACCAAGACTACTTTGACTAGTAATAGTACTGCTGTGCCAGTTTCCAGGCTTTACTGGTAGATTTTACTGCATCTCTTGGAGTGCTCCTTTAAGCTTAGGTTCTGAATTCTGTTAAAAAGTCTGTCTGCTCTGCTGAAGAGACCACATGGAGAAGCCCTAAGACCACAAAGAAAGAAAGAGGCACCCTTCTGAGCCCAGTCTTCCACACATGCCTACCAAGACACCAGACATTTAAGTGAAATAGTGTTGGATCTTCCAGACCACCCAGCAGCTGAGTACCCACTGAGTGACTTCAGTTGATACCATATAAAACAGATGAATCTATCAACTGAGTCCCTGCCCAAATTCCTGACCCACAAGATCATGAGATATAATAAAATAAATTTTGTTTTATTATTATCATTAGTATTACTCCTTTGAAAATTCATATGAAAGACTATGGGCACAAAGAATATAGAAATGCCTTCCACCAACACTCACCCTTATTTAACTTCAGATAACTTACTCTTTTTAAAATAGTTCAAGTGAGAAATTGTTTTTCAATTTGTTCATAAAAAAGCAGATATTCTACAGTCTACATTCTCTGGCCCAAGTCTAAATTTAACTTAAAATTAACAAAGAATAACGTAAAAATAAACTTTGGAAATTAAAAATTACTTGTATTATAACTTCTGTATTGATTTTTAAAAATACATTGTAGCCTTTTTTTGTGCTCTGGTTGTCCTGTCTTTCATTAGTGAGAATCCCCTCAAATTGGTTCCTATGTCCTTTTGTCATGACAAAAGCTTTTAATAGCTTCCTTTTTTCCTGACCAAATGCACTGGTCAGTTATGAAGCATATTAGGGTACTTATTGATAAATAAAGGGGAAAAGTGGAGCATTTATTTTGTCTTTCCTTTATGACCTATATAAGACAACCAAAAGTTGGTGAAGTAAAGTTCTTTATTATTATTAGAGAACTCTAGTCAATAAAGATCAAAGGAATGACAGAATTTGAAAAATCACTCTTTAATTTCTGAAATACTGGATCTTGGTGGTGATTTCAATGGAAGCAAAGATCATTAGTGAAAAAGATTGATAGGAAGTTTTTAATGGATCAGAATGACAGAACCTACATTTACATTACATTACATCAACATCTCAATTAGATCAGCCCCACTATGTGCCTCTTGCTTGTGCAGTGGCTATATGTAGTATCATTTGTTAAGTGTTCTTACCCCAAATGTTAACTCAGAAGTAAAAGTGGGTCTCTAAATCTAATTACCAGGTTACAGGAAACTTGGGGAATAAAGGAACAAATTAACGACACAAAGAAGCAAACAACCAAACCCAGAATGTACAAAATTCCACAGAATAAATGGTCTTGGTTCTTTTTAAAAAAATTTTTTTTTCAACGTTTATTTATTTTTGGGACAGAGAGAGACAGAGCATGAACGGGGGAGGGGCAGAGAGAGAGGGAGACACAGAATCGGAAACAGGCTCCAGGCTCTGAGCCATCAGCCCAGAGCCTGAACCAGGGCTCAAACTCACGGACCGCGAGATCGTGACCTGGCTGAAGTCGGACGCTTAACCGACTGCGCCACCCAGGAGCCCCTAAATGGTCTTGGTTCTTAACCAGTATAGGTTAAGACAAAAGAATGTTGCAAATTAAAAGAGACTTAAGAGACATATCAATTAAATACAGTGTATGGAATGTATTGGAATCCTTGTTTTAAAATGTACCCAGGATTTGTTTTAATCAATTATGGTACAACATGCAGATACAGAAATGATTGTCATGAAGGAAGAAGTTTAGACTCAAAGATCTCTAAAAACAGGAGGCAACAGCATGCCCACAGGGCCACATGGGGAAATACCCAGTTATGTTGGAAGGCAGAAGTGGGGAAAGGGCAGAGCATGGCACAGAGCCTTTGCTGAGGTTTTCTCCAAAGAATGGGTGACACTGGGTAAGTACACTGAGGAAGTTTGGGAATGGAATGGATAGTGGGTTTTTTTTAATATTTCTTTTTTTTTTTTTAAGTTTATTTATTTTGAGAGAGTGTGTGTGTGCAGGAGGGAGAGAGGGAGAATCCTAAGCTGGCTCCACAATATTAGTGTGAGGAGCCTGATGGCAGGGCTCGAACTCATGAACCTGTGAGATCATGACCTGAGCCAAAATCAAGAGTCAGATGCTTCACAGACTGAACCATCCAGGTGCTCCTGGATAGTCTTAATAATTTCGGAGGTTCTGAGGTATATGAGTAGTCCCTAGTTGTCTGGTACCTGGCCCTGGGGTGATTTGTGCAGGAGGAATATTGGCTTGGTGTGTGAGAGTTTGATGAAACAGTTGGGGCTTTGGCTTGGTGGGTTTGATCAAAAGAGTTGTTTGCTATCTCTAGGAATTTGCTACCCCTGGGAAGGGCAGTCTCTCCAGGACCAAGTCTCCAAATGCCAGAGCATAATTACAGAAAATAAAATACATTAAATACAATCCTGATTTGGACAAATGAAAACATTGTTTACATTGTTTTGAAAATGTAAATCTAAGTGGATATTAAGTTATATTAAGCAATTATTCATTTTTTAGGCATGATGATGGCATCATCACCAATTATTATGTGTAAGTCCTTATACATTAGAGATTCATACTGAAGTATTCAAGGGTGAAATCACATAATGTCTATGCCTTGCTTTAAAATACTTCAGAAAAAGGGTGCCTTGATGGCTTAGTCAGATGTCTCTTGAGTTTGACTTGAGCCTGCTTAGGATTCTGTCCCTCCACCCCTGCTCACTCACTCTCATAAATAAATAACTAAATAAGTAAATGGAGGGAGGGAGGGTGGCAGGAACAGATGAAATAAGATGGGCAACTGCTAAATGTTGAAGCTGGATAATGGGTACATTGAGTCATCGTGCTATTCTTACTACCTTTGCATATATTTGAAAATATCCATAATAAAGCTTTCCCTAAGTAGAAAATCAAATCTGAAATTTTAGACCACTTAGTGATAAATGATAATGATGCCTACAAATAAAAGTTTGTGGGAAATCATCAAAAGTCTACTTGTTAAGAAATAACCTTAATGCATTTAGAAAACTTGGACTGAGGGAACCCTCTTGCACTGTTGGTGGGAATGCAAACTGGTGCAGCCACTCTAGAAAACAGTGTGGAGGTTCCTCAAAAAATTAAAAATAGACCTACCCTATGACCCAGCAGTAGCACTGCTAGGAATTTACCCAAGGGATACAGGAGTACTGATGCCTAGGGGCACTTGTACCCCAATGTTTATAGCAGCACTCTCAACAATAGCCAAATTATGGAAAGAGCCTAAATGTCCATCAACTGATGAATGGATAAAGAAATTGTGGTTTATATACACAATGGAGTACTACATGGTAATGAGAAAGAATGAAATCTGGCCCTTTGTAGCAACGTGGATGGAACTGGAGAGTGTGATGCTAAGTGAAATAAGCCATACAGAGAAAGACAGATACCATATGTTTTCACTCTTATGTGGATCCTGAGAAACTTAACAGAATCCCATGGGGGAGGGGAAGGAAAAAAAAAAAAAAAAGAGGTTAGAGTGGGAGAGAGCCAAAGCATAAGAGACTCTTAAAAACAGAACAGGGGTGCCTGGGTGGCTCAGTCGGTTAAGCGTCCGACTTCGGCTCAGGTCATGATCTCACGGTCCATGAGTTTGAGCCTCACGTCGGGCTCTGTGCTGACAGCTCGGAGTCTGGAGCCCACTTCAGATTCTGTGTGTCTCCCTCTCTCTCTGCTCCTCCCCCGTCCATGCTCTGTCTCTCTCTGTCTCAAAAATAAATAAACATTAAAAAAAAAAACAACTGAGGGTTGATGGGGGTGGGAGGGAGGGGAGGGTAGCTGATGGGTATTGAAGAGGGCATCTTTTGGGATGAGCACTGGGTGTTGTATGGAAACCAATTTGACAATAAATTTCATATATTTAAAAAAAAAAAGAAAAAGAAAACTTGGACTGAGGAACTAGTGTTTGTCTTCTTTACCATTCTGTCCCCACACTTATAGTACCTGTTGTATAACAGGCAGTTGATTTTTGTTTATTTATTTTTGAGAGAGGGGGGAGAGGGGCAGTGGGAGAGAGAGAGAATCCCAAGCAGGCTGCACAGTGTCAGTGCAGAGCCCCATGTGGGGCTTGAACTCACAACCCGTGAGATCATGAGACGGATGCTTATTAACCAACTGAGCCACCTAGGTGCCCCTAACAGATAGATGATTTTTAAAATTGGGGGGAAAAACACATTAGCTTGAACCATAAAATAGTTTTTTAATAATTTTTTTTAAAACTAAGTACCACAAAGTAATTCATACACTAAAGTAGAAATTAATGAAATAGCTAATAAAATCCTTATCCAAGGATGTTCTCTTTGAAAAGGCCATTAATAAAGAATTGGCAGTTATTGAGGAAAAAAAGACTCCGTTTCAACTTTATATATGAGAAAGGTTAAACAGCTATATATATCAAGGAGAATTAAAATTTTTAAAGTTATATATGTTACCATATACATATATTTCAATATCTATAAAAATACAGAGAATGAATTATCTGGAGAAAACTAAATCATCAAAGTTGACTCAAGATACTATAGAAAACCTGAACAGATATATAAGCAAAGAAAAATATTGTAGTTATGATTGTTTTAAAAAACTAGAATCAACAGTTTTGCAGGCAATAAAAAGTTTTAAAGAATAGAGAGCCTCTAACAAAATTTTGCTAGATCATTCTATAAGGCTAACATCCCAATAATAAAATGCGAATAGCCCCTAGAAAGCAAAATCTGGACCAGTATCACTTAAGATACATACAAACATCCCAAATAAAGTTCAGCGAACTTAATGGTCTGTTAAAACAATTATAGGAGCACCTGGGTGGCTTAGTCAGTTAGGCATCCGACTTCAGCTCAGGTCATGATCTCACAGTTTGTGAGTTCAAGCCCCGCGTTGGATTTGCTGACAGCTCAGAGCCTGGAGCCTGCTTCAGATTCTCTGTTTCCCTCTCTCTCTTCCCCTCCCCTGCTCGCACTCTGTCTCTCTCTCTCTCTCAAAAATAAAAAAATAAACTTTTTTTTAATTAAAAAAATTATAAAACATAAAACAATTTACCAGGAATATCCAGGGACCTGACCTGTTGTGATTTAATTAAGTATCCAGATTTTAGGTTTCTAACTTGAGCAATGTAACAATGTTGGAAAAAATGGCATTATTTACCTCAATGTCTTTTAGGTTGTTTCTCATATTCTAATTCATCTTAGCTTCATCAGCTTTAAAAAAGGAATGAACAACAGATATGAAAAATGAGGGTTCAACACAAAAAGTATTACCTTCCACAAAACAAAAATGAATATTATTACACTTTATTTTCTACCAAACCTCTGTAATGTCACTATAGTTATACATTAAGACTTGTACTTCCCGGTCCATTTTGTTCAGATTGGGCAGATATCATTGGATAATCACTCACCTAGAATAGACCCACTCATGATTTCAAACAATACACACAATATTTTAACACAAAAAGTATTTTAAGTGCTATAACAAAATTAGTTTTTGCTAATGGGTCAGTATGTTTCTCCTGCCTGGTATCGTTTTCATGCTAACAGAGGTCTTCTGGAGACTGTACTTAACTCAAAATTTCTGAAAGTATGTTCCACGAAACACTAGTACTTTAGTGATAATGGGAAAATTACTGTATAGCCAAACAAGGCTGGGAACTCTGTATACTATATTTCTTGAGGGGGAAAAAAAATTCACATTAAGTGCCTAACAAAAGACTATCCAAAAAAGTTTCATTTTATCTGACCAGTGTATCTCAGACTTTACTATACAGAACTCCCATTCCGAATACCTACTGCGGATGTAATTCCACTTTGGCAGATGCTGCTATAACCAGAAGGAGTGGCTCAAGGATGGAAATGTCAGCATTATGACAGGTGTACAGTTATCTGTTTGGCAAGGAAAGCAATTCAAATTATGTTATCCAGTCAGCTGCTCGCTCTTTTTTTTTTAATTTGAAATGATACTTTTCAATAGAATAGAAAATCCTTCCCCCTATTCTTTCTATAAATATATGTATAGACTATAATTTCTTGCTGAAAAATCCTACTGACTTACCTGTGTGTTTCTTGTTAACCATAAACAAGAATTTCTCTGAGGTATTTATCAAAAAGTGGGACTGCTCAAAGGTTATATTCATTTTCAACTTCACTAGATAGTGCCATAGAAGTGGAGAACATGGGAAGGGGCACCTGGGTGGCTCAGTTGGTTGAGTGTCTGACTTCAGCTCAGGTCATGATCTTGCGGTGCATGAGTTCCAGCCCCATGTCGGGCTCTGTGCTGACAGCTCAGAGCCTGGAGCCTGCTTCAGATTCTGTGTCTCCCTGTCTCTCTGCCCCTCCCCTACTCATGCTCTCTCTCTCTCTCTCAAAAACATTAAAAAACATTGTTTTAAAGAAGTGGAGAACATGGGACACCTGAGTGGCTCAGTGGGTTGAGCATCTGACTCGATTTCGGCTCAGGTTATGATTCCAAGGTTGTGGGATTGAGCCCCATGTCAGGCTCCATCTGCTTAAGATTCTCTCCCTCTGCCCCTCTCCCCTGTTCACGCATGCTCTCTCTCTCTCTCTTTCTAAAAAAAAGAAGTGAGAACATCATTGTCTTGCCAATTTACAACCCCTTCACCCAATAAAGTATTATTTCCTTGTAATCCTACTTCTGGTATGTGCTTTATAGTGAGTTGAGCATCTTTTCACATCTGTTTATTGTTAAACATTATAACTTACCAATTCATGCCATGTTCCTTTGTTAAAAAAATATAAAAGAATTGTGGGATTCTTAAAAATAATATTCTAGATAATAATCCTTTACCTAGTATTATAAATAACGAAACTTAGCCTCCCCAGATTGTGGCTGTATGTGTATTTATGGTGATACTATCATATTAAAATTTAAAAAATTTAAATGTGGATGCAATCATAGCTTTCATTATTACCCAATAATCTTAATTTTTTACAAGACCCTTGGTTTTCTAGGCTATCAGTTATGTCAACTGCAAATAGATATAATTTTGGATTTTTTCTGAATATTTATAGCGATTATTTTATTAATCTAATAGAAAGATCTCCAAAATAGGACTTAGGATTAGTGGTGATAGGGATATAGTTGTTTTCACCTATTTAATGGAAATCTCTTAGTATAATGTTTGTTTTAGTTTGGAGGTAAACAGACGTTGTTGTGGCTCAATTGTTTCCTTCAGTTCCTTATTAACTTCTTTATTAGAAATGCCTGCTGAGAGGGGTGCCTTGGTGGCTCAGTCAGTTGAGCGTCCAACTTTGGCTCAGGTCATGATCTCACAGTTCGTGGGTTCGAGCCCCGCATTGGGCTCTGTGCTGACGGCTCAGATCCTGCAGCCTGCCTTGGATTCTATGTCTCCCTCTCTCTCTGCCCCTCCTCCACTCATGCTTTCTCTCTCTCTCTCTCTCAAAAAATAAAGATTAAAAAAATTTTTTTTTTTTAAATAAGTGGAGAACATGGAACACCTGAGTGGCTCAGCAGGTTGAGCGTCTCGTTCTTGATTTCGGCTCAAGTCATGATCTCACGGTTCGTGAGTTCAAGCCCCACAAAGAGCTCTGCGCTGCTTGGAATTCTCTCCTCTCTCTCTCCCCCTCCCCTACTCGCTGTTTCTCAAAATAAATAAAAAAACATTTTTAAAAAGTTTAGAAATGCCTGCTGAATATTATCAGATGCTATTTTGACACATTGATATAATATTTTTGTCCTTGAATTTGTTAATGTGAAAGTAGTACTTTGGTCATTAAGGCAGTATGGTTTTGGCACAAGAATGAACAAACAGACCAATGGAACAAAATAAATGGCCTTGAAATACACCTACATATATGTGGTCATCTGATTTATGACAAAGGTTCCTCTGCATTATGGTTGGGACATAGTGGTCTTTTCAATAAGTAGCACTGGGTCAACTGCATAGCTATATTCATAAAAAAAATGAATCTTGGCCCTTACATCACACTACAAACATAAATTCCAGGTACATTAGTGACCTAATTGTAAAAGGTAAAGCAAAAGAAATATAAAATATCTTTCTGGGCTTGAGGTAGCAAAGATTTCTTTCTTTTTTTTTTTTTTTAATTTAAATTCTAGTCAGTTAACATACAGTGCAATACTGGCTTCAGGAGTAGAATTGAGTAGAACTGAGTAATTGGTGAATTACTCAGTTCACCAGGGCTCATCACAACTAGTGTCCTCCTTATTACCCATCACCCATCTAGCCCATCCCCTACCCACCTTCCTCCATCAAACCCTCAGTTTGTTCTCTGTCATTAAGAGTCTCCTGTGGTTTGTTCCCCTATATTTCTCTTTTTTCTTCTTTTCCCCTTTCCATACGTTCATCTGTTTGGTTTCTTAAATTCCACATATGAATGAAATCATATGGTATTTGTCTTTTTCTGACTGACTTATTTCTCTTGGCATAATATACTCTAGCTCCATCCACATTGTTGCAATGGCAAGATTTCATTCTTGTTGATGACTGAGTAATATTCCATCGCATATAAATACCACATCTTCTTGGGGCGCCTGGGTGGCGCAGTCGGTTAAGCGTCCGACTTCAGCCAGGTCACGATCTCGCGGTCCGTGAGTTTGAGCCCCGCGTTGGGCTCTGGGCTGATGGCTCAGAGCCTGGAGCCTGTTTCCGATTCTGTCTCCCTCTCTCTCTGCCCCTCCCCCGTTCATGCTCTGTCTCTCTCTGTCCCAAAAATAAATAAACGTTGAAAAAAAAAATTAAAAAAAAAATAAAATAAATACCACATCTTCCTCATCCATTCATCAGTCAATGGGCATTTAGGCTCTCTCCATAATTTGGCTATTGTTGATAATGCTGAGATAGCAAAGAGTTCTTAAACAGAATACAAAAAGCATTAACCATATGGGGAAAAATGATAAATTTTACTGTATTAAATTTAAGAATCTATTTCATCAAAAAACACAATTAAGAAAGTGAAAAAAGTCACAGAGAATATATTCTATATATATATAATATACAATATAGTATATGTTAATATATGTTAATATGAATATATACATTTATGTAATAAATGTAAAATATTTAATCATATATAGACAAAATGTTAACAAAATATTAAATAAATATATATATAATATATTTGACTCATCCACAATATATAAAGAATCCCTATAGATCAATAAACGACAGAAAATAAAATAGTAAATGGGAAAAAAAACTCACATAAGCACTTCAAAAAAAGTGTGTATCCAAATGGCCAATAAAGATATCAAAAGTTGCTCAAGTTCATTATTAAGAAAGTGGAAAAACTAAAACCACAATGTGATAAATATACACCCTCCAGAATAGCTAAATGGAAAAAATATGTACAAAGTGCTTGTGCATAATGCCATGGAGTGCTCAAGCCTTTGACAATATGCTAGTGGATACTGAAGACAAGATCCCCAATCTTCAGGAAAATCTGGGAAGCAGACAACCAGTAAGTACCTAACTAAGAAAACTTCAGATTCTGATAAGGGCCATGAAGAGAAAAGATATTGGGAAGGAGAATTACTAGAGGGAGACAATTCAGTTGGTCATTTCATCTGACGTATATACAGTATCCCTAGTGGTAGCAGTACAGATTTTATGCAAGAATAGCCAGGTTAAGACTGAGAAAGAAAAGCTACCAAGGTGTCCTAGTCCTACCAGATATTTAAAAGTACTAAAAAGTCCCTAAATAATCAAAATGATGTGGTACTCATGCAGGAACAGACCAGTGGAATAGAACAGAAAGTCTATAAGGGACCCAAAAATATAGGAAATTTTAATACATGAAGGTATGAGGAAGTAACACTTCTCTAAGTATACCTTTCTGTATATTTTTCACTTTGGGAACCATGTTAATGTTATATATGTTTACATAAAGAGAAGAAAGACCCTACATTGGAATATAAGCAGAAACAAATATTTCCCCACACTACAGGGGAAAAAGCTAACCCAAGAAACTTTCTTTAAAGCTTTATTTTTTAATGTTTATTTTTGAGAGAGAGAACATGAGCGGGGGGAGGAATAGAAAAGGGGGGAGGACAGAGGATCCAAAGCGGGCTTTGCCCTGACAGCGGTGAGCCTCATGCAGGGCTCAAACTCATGAATTGAGATCATGACGTGAGCCAAAGTCTGACACTCAACAGAGCCACCCAGGTGCCCAAAGTAGCTTTTTTAAAAAGTAAGCTCTTTTTTTTTTAAAGTAAGCCCCAACATGGGGCTTGAACTAATGACCCGAAGATCAAGAGCCACACGCTCTACCAAATGAGCCAGTCAGGTGCTCCTAACCCAAGCAATTTTTGAACGACAACTTGACCCTATTCACTCAGCCCAAAACAGAAACAAAACAAAACAAAAAACAACCATAAACAAATAACTAGCTAGTAGGATTGATTTGCACAATGATATAGATTACCAATTGTGAAACTACTACTTCATATATTTTAGAATCAAGCAAAAAAGTAAATATATTATGGGATTAAGCTAATATAACGGGAGAAAAGCTTATCACTGCTGGAGAAGGTAATTGCAATATGGAGAGAAGGAGGCTAGATGAACCCTGTGGTGTTGGGTTGAAATTGGAGGTATCACTATAAAGTCATATTTTTGTGCATTTTTTAAGTAATCCCTACACCCAAGATGGGACTCCAACTTACCACCCCAAGATCAATGTAGAGTCAGATGCTCTACCAACTGAGCCAGCCAGGTTGCCCCCATGATATTTTTAAATAGATAAATATAGAAATACATATAGAGGTGTGTGTGTGATAGAAATACATATAGAGGTGTGTGTGTGTGTGTGTGTGTGTGTGTGTGTGTGTGTGTGTGTGTTTTCTAGCAGAGAGGACAAAAAAGAAACGACATCCCAGTACCAGT